TTAGTTATTGGCTTTTCATAGCAGTATGGTAAGAAAAGACATTGTTTTTCTGATTTTTTTTTCTTCCATACAATTTTCCTATCTTTTGCACAGGGTTTTCCTTTTAATTTTCGCCCTCGACTCATAACATTTCACAAGGCTATAGACACATTGAAAATACACTGAAACTTCAGCATCAGGTTCTTCAACGTAACGAACTCTCAATTCACTAATTTCTTTTTATCGATGTAGTCATATAGTTCGAGTCACACCGACGTCGAATTGGATTTCCTGTTATTTGGGTTTTTTTATTTTTATTTTTATTTTTAACTTAGAATTCATTTTTGTTTTTCGTGTGCTTCATATTTTTTTTACTGATTTTTATTGTAATTTCAACATTACTTCTCATTAACATTATGGCATTGAGGAAAAGCCATGCTCTCTTTTACAAACAGACATTAAGTCTTATTCTTTGTTTTAATAATATAATTGTACAGGAATATATTTCCGGATCAAACGTAAGTAACCGAATAATAATTATTACGAGATGGTTTTATAGCAGTTCATGCACCTTTATAGCAGTTGACGCATTTTTAAAACAGTTATTTTATGTGTTTCTAATTGAAAGTGGAATAACCGTACATGATCACCAACGACAGGTTGGTAAAACTTAAAAGGTTTAGTCACGTAATGAACAGTTAACGTTTTCTTCTCTCTGATGTGATGACAGAAGGTATGAGGAGACAACGCCAAGTATAGGCCTATCCGGCACAATCTGAACCAAACATGCTATATTATATATAGATGGACAGCAATTTAACTATTAACACACATAAGTTGAACCGCTAAAGTTCTCGTTCATGTTTTGAACTTCTTAAATGCCCCGAAGGAACAAATATATTTGTAATTAAAAATATGTATGTCTTGATCAATGGCTAAAAGATCTGCGTTCTGCGGTGCTGTTTTGATCTAGTATTGCCATACCAACAAGGACATTTACAATCGTCGAATTTTAAGTAGACGATTGCAGATGAGTGTAATTTATCCTAACAAACGTATGATGTATATCGTGGTGCAGCAAGACATTTTATAAGATACGCTTTCCTTTCCCAAGTAGATCTGCAGAAAGTGTTACAAGTAATTATTTTCCTAACACAACGTAACTGATGCTGTATATCGTGCTGTAAGACATTCTTAAAATACGCTTTCCATATGAAATAGATCTGTAGAAAGTGTTACAAAAAATTATGACTAAATCACCACTTGACAAACCCCATCGATTGTCCATGGAGGTATTGTAGTAAACTATACAAACTCGTCCATCAATTACTGTAAAGGTAGGCCAACATCATAACCCAAGTACACTAATTCCATTGATCTGTCCTGATGCAAACTTAATGGTATAACGCTATTCTTGTATAGCTAGATACGAGTATATTTTTTTCATCGATATATGGATATGGAATTGTCTGGTCGGTGGTATGAAATTAATTAGATTTTATATTATTGTTTATGTAATACAATAAGGCACTTGACGCACAAACTTAATATCTCTATCCTACCTTCCAAAATGATTAGGCAGCACATCGTTCTCCGACACATAGGCCACACCCAGTTGAGTTAAACTCATTTTTGGTCCGAGATTTAAAAAAATAGGTATGTAACATATACATTCTCGAAAATGGCACTCTCGAGGTGGTAAATAAATAGATAAATATAAATAAATAACAAAAACGAAAAACAATACATAGCAAACAAATAAATAAATAAATAATATGTAAGTAAATAGATAAACATAGGAAGTGAGTGTATGTTGAAGGTGCAAATAGCTAATAATCAAGCATAAAAAATTCTTTGTATTATTTGAAACTTTTATTGAAATAAATTAATTCGTACAAAGCTGTGTTACATAACATTATCATGTGCTACTCTGAATTACGTTTTCCATTCAGTAATTATATTTGGCCTTGATCAGGTTTTTTTTATAGACATTCATAAAAATAGATTCAATATTCTAACCATTATATGATGCTTTCTGTAAGTTATTTTAACATACAACAAACTTCAATATTTCAAATAATATTATGTTCACCCTCAGGAATAACAATGACTCACTATCCAAATACTGTAGGTACAAATACCAAAGGTAAGCTTCCCAATAACATTAAGGTTTTATCACAGAAAACATGGATTGTCCACGTGGCTGAGATCCCTAATCAAATAAACCCACACCTATGTGTTTATCATTTATATTCTCTTGCATGGAAAAAATGAATAATCGATATTCCCGAAGACAAACAAAAAATAATCCAAACACGATGGTGTATAATACATATGCTTTTGATTCTTCAAGAAAACATTTCCTAGGAAAGCAGCGGTGGAGCTTAAGGGGGAAAAGGGCGGATTTCCCCATCGTCCGATGCCACAACGAGGTCGTCAGATCAAAATATTAATTTAGTAATCCAAAAAATATATGCGATTGTCAATTCCCATTTGACAGGGATTGTATTTGAGACTCTAGATGGCCTCTAGGTTTGGACTCCCTGTCGGACTTGTTGTACCCCTTGTCGATCATTTTCTGGAGCCACAATCGTTGTGGATGTTTTCACTTCATTAGCAACCATATAATTTTGTTTCGAGAGAAATAAAAATATCAATAAATATTTCAATAAAATGTTAAATCCCAACAATACAAAAATATACAAAAACACTCAGAAAAGTGTATTATAGAATCGGATGATGATATTTATATTGGTACTCTGGTATGGCTCTAAAAATAACAAAGAATTGGACTAGATTATTACAGCATGCACATTAATCTGATTATTTGGTTTTTAAAATAGATAAATCATTATTTATTAGAGCTATATTTAGCCCCAAGCAATCAAACTAATATTTATAAAAAGCAATCATTCCTTTCAGAATAATTTTTTTCTTTACAAATTTCATTGGGTGTAAAACAGCTCTAAAAGCAAATGATTGGTTTAAAAGTATATTAATAGACATGAAGCAGAAGCAATTTTAAAGAAAAAAAATTGTTTTACATTTAGTCCTTGGGAAGAGTGCTACAGAGAAAATAATTATTCTTTGGATGCAGAAGTAGCTAGATAAGAAGTGAGTTGAGTGTTAATACATGCTGAAACCATAATCCACACAGAATGAATTAAAAACCCTTACATTAAAACTCTTAATCTATTTATTACACTCCTCACTAATCATGCAGGAAATCAACATTTTACAATAAGAACTACCTGTACCACTAATATTAAATGTACCTTATTTACTGTAAATCCTAAATGTTACACCGTGTTTTACAATACTAGACCTCAGTGACAAAACAAAGAGGCCAGAGCTCCTGGTTAATTAAGGCTTCTTCGAGCCCTCTATTCTGGAAGCCAGGAGGCACCTGGGGCCCAGTGGGGTAGGAGATCGCTCTTACATTTTTGATGTTTTAAGGGCATGTAATGTCCTTTTTACATGTTCTGCTCATTATTTGGGGCCCCACTTGGCAGATTTTAGGTTCATGGTCACTAAGTAATTTTATTACCATAATTAAAATAACATAAACTTTAACTGTCATTAAAATTAGTTAATTTACAATAAGCATAAGCAAAGCAGCCGAGGCGGGAAAGTCATCCGACTATCTGGCGGACCGGCAGTAAATTAAAGTAGTAAGTAATTTACAATAAAGAGGAACTTGCATTTTCAGGGGTCCCAAGTTGTGGAAGTCAAATTCCTGGAGAAAATGTAGAATTACCTGGAAACTGGGAGATTAAACAAAATTCATGGCGACCCCGGGGCAATCCTGGAGCAAGTATTTAACGCAATGTACATTATGTATCGAAGTGTCAACATTATTTGCCTTAATCGTCTATGTATAAAATCAGATAGCAATATGAATACTTTATTTTGAATTTTTATAGTCTTAATTTTCACTTGAAAATTGGACCAAACCAAACTTTTCTCACAAAATTTACAGCTAAAAATAATTATTTATTTTTTAATAACATTTACTGCTTTCTCTCTTTCACACACATTATGAGGTAGTGTCTATAATTTAAAAATAGCACATGATCAATTTAAATGTGGCAATATACTGAATTAAAGCCAATCAAAAGTACGGAAATTTCAGGATATTTTTAGGCATATATTTAAATAATTAAAGAAAATCACTAAATCAATGATAATTTTAACAATAATATACCTTATAAATTTGTTCTTAACAACTTATGAACTACTGATATTAATTTTCTGTAAAATTTTTTAAATATGCATTATCTAAGAAAATTATTGGCACCATTAAAACATTGATATCATTTCATTTTCATATAAAAAATATAATTATTTAAAATGTCCCTGCATTAATATAGTTTCAAACATGTGTAGCCTGAAAATACATATAATATTTCCAGAATTCATTAATCTATAATGCCATTTTCTTATTGCTTCTTTAGCCTAGAATCTAATATTACTTAAACTTTGTGGCATGCTTATACAGCAACTTATCTCGCTCCAAAGCCCATTCTTGTTTTCCTTTTTACTATGATTAAAAAATTCTACAAAAATCAACACCAGAACATTTGAATCAGGGATGTGTGTAACTGTCCCGCACGTCCTCAAAATTCTATTGAGTCGTAATCATCATTACGATCACTAACATCATTAAAGTTGTAAACACTTCAAACAACTTAACCCCCAAAACTTTAGTTGTTGCAGGCCAAATACTGTATATAAAGAAAACAATATAACCCATACATTTGTTTTTTGAGGATGGGCCCTTGTTTTCTTTTTCCTTCACATAAATTTAACAGAGCACACATACCATAAATATCCATGCCAGTCCAACATACGAATAAAATACTCATTGCTTTTGAATGAAATATCTGCTGCATTTCTCAGTTCTTTGCCTCATTAAGGAATAAACAATAAACAATCTGAATTCAATTACCTGGAAAAGATGTAAAACATGTTTTTTTTGGGTGGGGGGGGGACTCAGATTATTTATTTTTTGGCCTTACATTAAGCATCTAGTCACAAGGTCGGATTAAAGAGATAAATACCAATGACTTTTGTCCGTATTTCTTGCTTTGTGAGCTCCTTTGTCGTGACATACAATATGGACTAGTTTGAGATTCCTTGTAGTAAACAAGAGGCTAAAAAAATATGCAGAGTTGACAGTCCGATGTTTTGAGGAAGAGATCAATGCTGATTCGAGATCTGGCAAAACCTGACGACTCTTTTCAATTCTGAAATATAATGATTAATATTACTATTATTATTATATTATAATCATTATTTATATCATTAACATTATTTAATCATATAATTACTATAAATATTAATATAAATAATATTTTACAATTCATTACTAATATAATTATTCTAATATTTAATAATATTTTCATCATTAATTTTCTTGTAATCATGATTAAAAAAAATAACGATTACAAGAAAATTAATGATGAAAATATTTTATTTTCTTGTACAGTACTGTAATCATTAAAAAAAATATGATTAAAAAAAATAACGATTACAAGAAAATTAATGATGAAAATATTTTATTTTCTTGTACAGTACTGTAATCATTTTAAAAAATATGATTAAAAAAATATTGATTACAAGAACATTAATGATGAAAATATTTTTATTTTCTTGTACAGTACTGTAATCATTTAAAAAAAAATAGTAATTACAAATTCATCATTAGTTTTCTTGTAATCATTATTTAAAAAAAAATAATATTTCTTTGCTTTTGTAGATTTTTTTTATTCACTAGTAGCAGTCCCTTTTATGAGAAAAAAGACACATGCTCTACATAGTCTCATTACAAGCGCTTTTGGAGAGAAAATGTTTTCGTCATACAAAAAATTTCTGTCGCTGTATATTACTCTTCCTAGCAAATTCTTACCCGTCTAAGATGGGAAATGAATAAAGTACGTCATTAGGTTTTCAAATGTTATAATAAGTGCGACACTTCCGTAACTACAATTTTGATTAAAATAGACATATAATACCACATATTTTTTGTTTTTTAATTTATATGAACAGTTAAGACCAAAATTTCATTCTAGATTTGCTGGCTTCCGTCTCCATCCGGGGACATAAGTAACCATGGATAACAAATATGAATATACATTTTCTGTGTACAATTATATAAAAATCAAAAAAGAATGTTCAAACTATTCAATAGTACTGTATTTACTAATACCGACAGTAATAATATTTCAACTAGGCCTGAGGCACCTTTCGACTGCACCGTACACACTTTACACTAAAAAAAAGCTAATGTAAAAATGCACAATTAAATCCAATGCAGATATGAAAAGGTACTGATGCTGTTGCTGCGACAATACTGATGGTGAGTAATTCGTTGTCTGCACAGTTTAGAAACACAATTGTTAAAACCAAAAGAAAGAATTCAAAATAATTATTAAGCTGGCATGCTAATTAGTTAAAAATTAACCTCTTGTTTTCCACTGCGTAAACAAGGCATGCCAGTCATACTGTAAATGCTTGTGGTTTTGAGACACATCATCCTGTCTAAAATTATTTTTTCTATATTTTTGGCTCATGAATGGAAAGGTGAGTTCCCCCTTCCCACTTCTTGGATCTGGCAATGCTTCTAGATTCTAAATATTAGGGGCTACAGTACAGTACATCTAGTTATTATCTCCTCAACATAATGGTAAAGTTCAGTTTTTAGTTCTTATAAACTCTGCATCGCTGCCTCTGGCACCAAGTGCTTGGCTTGGTGTCTTTGGAACACTTTGCTACTCCACTGATCCTTTCTAGTTCTGCATTTACAATTTTCGCCCCCCCCCCCCCCTATATGGGAACCACCCTACGCCCCTGCTCAGTTGGATAACCTGGTGGTAAAGAATGTATGTGCACTGAAGTGTGGAGATGCTTTGGTACCCGGTTCAATTCCATCCATCTTGTTGTCTTTGAGCTGGAGGGCTGAAATGCTATGGCCCTATGTACAGCACATAAAGAATGCAATACACCCTTCGCAAAAATGTAAGGGGATTGTCTCTCGGTGTACTGTTTAATCACCACCAGAATTACCAAATGTAAACACCAAATGAAATACAACCAATACTAGGAATTCCCAGGATATGGAGGAGATGGCATGTTATGAGTGGTTCATTTTGTATCCATTCCAGAGAAAAATAATGAGTTTTCTGGGTACGGGCCCTATATAAATCGTACTAAATAAATTTTTCTTAAACTTTAACACACTTACATATGGTCTAAGTTCCATGTGCTAAAGATAACAAAGAACTGTCTGGAACTATAAGGGTTGATGTTGTGATGGTATCGACATGATTTTTCATTGTAGATGCCTCCACATCCAAACCAACCATCCTCGTTGCACAATGGGGTCTGCAGACCGTTCACTTGATTCACAGCTGTTCGATCAAATAGGGAGCCAAAGTAGTTGTTTTTACGCAAATCCATCTCAAACTGTTTTAATACTTCTGTAGCGTGTTGTTTGGTCTTCTTATCTTTCGCATTGAAGTATGTTTTTGCCTGGAATATAAATATAGTAATTGTATCACTGTGAGGCATTCCAATATGTTTTAGGTTTACAAGGTATACTTGAAAATGATAATGTAGCCTGTAATGTAAGTAATAAATTAGGTTTAATATTTTCTAATACTAACATTATTGACAGTTCGCAAAATTGGTCTATACTATTGTTTAAAGAAGCGTTTGCTATACGTAGGCTACACCCATTGCTTAAGAATGGGCTGACAGCTTCAAAGGAGCTTTCTTTGTTTTTGTAGGTAGCTTTGATCAGTAGGGTAGGAATGCTTTTATCATTAGTTTATTCATAGTTATGTCACCTACTAGGGGTAATGTTAAGATTGGTCAAACACCTTTGGTACTTGTGCATATAAGCTTGCAAATATGGATAATTTTTCATTCATGATGATGACATAATTAATGTCGAAATATTGAATCCCGACACGATGGCGTGCATTTCGATACTTGGAGTATGTATTATACTATCGTAATTAAATTTAACATGAAACTCATAAGAAAATGGTACACTATAAATTATTAACACAGAGGCCACAGAATATTAATAAATATTCACAAAGGTCACATTTGTGTGTTTTAATACTGTACAGTAAAATACTTGACATCACCAGTATCTACAGTGCTGTGGTTTTTTTGTTGGATGGGTCAATTTCTCCAGCAGGCCATATGAGGCATGTCGTGGTGAAATGGTTAAGTTGTCGCACAACACAGGCCCCAAATGCCACCTTTTAATACCACTACATTATAAGTTAAACAATTATATTATCTTTTATTGACTGGATATCAAAAAGGCAAGCACAAACAACAATTAAAATCCTGCACAAAAAAATCATCAAATTTTTTTAAAATGTTAGAATCAAGTCAGCATATTTTATACACAATGGTTTATAACTCAGTATGACATTCTGAATTTATAAAACTGTCAATATATACCTTATGCAATTCAATCAATAAGAATTGACACCAAAATGTCATAAAACAAAAATAGTCTCCTGAAACTAGGTCAAAATTACTCTAAACGTATGGCCTAGTCCATTATCGGACAAGGTGCTATCAGCCATTGGTCATCTGTCAAAACATAAGACCAATTACCAACTCCCTGATCTCTAACTACATTCACACTGCACTTGGCATGCCTGTCAAGTTAAATGAACTGAAATGAACCTTAACCCATTCCATTTTACAGAAAAATTCAACTATCTCAGCATAAAGTGTATCTACACAGGCAGAGTAATTACTCAAAAGTTGATTTATTGTATTTTTGTGTTTTATTGTCTTTGTACAGATATTGACCCTAGATGGCACTTGTAGCAATAAAAGAATTGAAAGTGACTTTGTTGTCTTAACATGACAAGTTTTAAGTCTTGTGCCACTCAAACATGGGGCCCTTGGTAGAACCTCTTTACCACCTCTCAGCAGCTTTACTACATTTGCATATTTCAGTCACTTACTGTATCTAGGTAGCCTCGTATTCTGTTTTTAGCACGGTTTCTCATGACATCAGATTTTGTTTTAAAACGATTATCAATACCTGAAAGACATATAAATGTAAACAAATGATTTCTGCATGAACAAAAAAAATGAGGATTACAATGTGTGATTAGCATAAACTTTTGCAGTGCATTGGGATGGATGATTCTAGTATTTTTTTTATGGTGTTCCAGGTTTTAAAAGAACATAGCAATAGACCCCTTTATGTGTTTACATTGGCCTGGCGAAAACACTGGCGGCGCACACCACTGGTAGGTAGGCAAAAAATTCCCAAAGTATAGGACAAATGCACACAAATTTAGGATACCGGGTTATCTACTTATTGTTGTGTAAAAAATACAACAGCTACATGTATGAAATTCACGTATGACTATAGATATATTAGGAACTGACAAAAACAAAATGCCCCATGTAGCCTAATCTCAGCTATTGTATAGTTTTCCAACAATCAGCAGCAATTTCACACCTTCCAATAAGTATTTCCCTGTTTGGACTCTGCAAATATTATTCTCCTGATGACCATTGAAGCAACTCAATCGAAATGTCGAGACATTCTCAACAAAACAACAGTTCTTTTCAGAACTATCTACGTGGTGTACTGCATGTACTGCAACTTAATTAATATTCAAACCTTTGAACCAATCAGGATCACTGTCTCGTGTTTCTTCGTTGTTTGTGGCCCATGTTGCAGAGACTGATGCAATAACGTTGTACATGTGGCAAAGATCTGTGTTTTTCAGAAATGATTTCATTTCATTCGCAGCTTCATTGTGCTGCAACATACCCTCAAGTGTCTTAAGAAATACAGAAAAATCTAAAAAAAAAAATTAAATGGCATATTACTTTAATTTAATTAAAAATACTAATGGTTGGAAAACAAACAGTAATTTGATATTTTTAAAGAGAAAATTAGCTTTTGTTAATAAAAAAAAGTTTATCAAAGTTTGGTTTTCACATGCTAGTAAAGCAAGGGTCGGATAGTGTTTTATTTTATAGAAAATTGCAATATATATATATATATATATATACATACATACATACATACATACATACATACATACATACATACATACATACATACATACATACATACATACATACATACATACATACATTATACATACATACATACATATATATATATATATATATTCTTCTTTGGTTACATTACCTGCAGGAAATTCTTCTCCACATTCCAGGAACACAAATGTTGTGTTTGCTGGCAGTGATTCAAAATACTCATTATCAATAATCTCAGTTTTATCTTCTTCGCAAATCTTTTGGAAGTCTTCCTTTGCAATCTGTTTTATGAAACAAAATGACAACAAATTAATAAATTAATTTATTTATATTTTAAAATAAATCATCAAACAAGTGGTGGAAAAAGTGAATCCAAAAAATAGGATGTTGAGCAGTTGCTCTCAATATAGCCTACAACACCAAACTAGGGTGCCTGGTCATAGGTCTTATATGGTCATTGGATTCCCACACCTAGGCTAGGCCCAAGATGCGCCTGTACGTCTACCTAAAATAGTAATAAGGCCTACCTCAAGGAGGTGACATCCCCTCTTGATCAGGTCACAAAGATCCTTTGCCACAATACCTTTCTTGGTAGAACCGGACAATGTCCGAATTTTACAAGGCTTTTTCATTTTATCTTTACGGAATTTTACAAGGCTTTTTCATTTTATCTTTACGGGCACACAAGCGATAACATAGATACAGACATGTTACAATTAAACAAAAGCCTACTAAGTTCTAAAAAATCTATAAAAAAAGGAAACAATAAAAGAACAAAAACATTAAAACAACCACTTCTAGAATGGGACGGACGGTGGATGACCTTTATTACCACCTACCTTTGCACCTACTGTTTATTATGAATATTGATGAGTCTATAAACAATAGTAATAAAGGCATATTCGCGATTTTTGAAAACTTAAAAGGAAAACAAATGAATTGAAAATATGGATGAATTAGTATGTATTTATATTTTTACTGTTCTGGACGCAAAGTTACACTGAAATCATTTAAAAGGACAAAACGATTGTGTTTTGAAAGCTATTTTCATGATCTCGCACATCACGAGAAATCTCGCGGAACGGAAGTGGGTCGAAGGCCTCAGACTAGAGTTATGTGGCTTTACGAAGAGTAACTTTTTAGGTAAAATATTCTGTTAAATTCACTCGTTATACTTAGTAGTTGTTATATACGCTATATTATATAACCTGTATACATTATATTGGCAAGTTTAAGTTTTTATCTGTATTCATAGTTTATTTTTAGGCTATGCTGCCGGGTAGGCCCGGTTCTCTGCTTCTCGCCATCCATCTCAATTAATAGCCCAAGCTAGCCTGCCTAGGAGGATAGGTGGGTGTTGCCTGCCGTAGCTTATGGATGGGCGGTGGCCGTACCTTGGTACCTACCGGCCTTGGTTGCCTGCTTAAACTAGGCGCCTAACTGGGAGACCATCACATCCTGGTTCCAGTTACAGCATGGAGTAGGCTAGGCCTAGCATGGAAATGTATAGGATGTTACGAATTTCAACTTAATAATAATAGTATAGGCCTAGGTCTAATACAAAAATAGGCCAAGCTAGGCCTACAAAAAATACGTAAATTTAAAGGTTAAAAAAATAAGCTCAGCTTACACCAGCTACTGAGCTAGGCCTAATGCTAATCTACTAGTCCTAGGCTTGGCTAGTACTAGGCCTAGTGCCTAGGCCAATTTGGTGGTTACATATTAACTAGGCCTAGTGAGTAAGGGAAAACGTTGGTCATTGCTTTTATTGTTAGAGAAGATATTAAAAAGATGAAACATTATTAACATTTGTGTTTTGTGAATTTACCGGTAGTTACTTTTTTTTTGTGCAAAAATGCTTTTTGGTAAATCAAAAGTTTTATTGTAGGTTTTTGGCATTGCCAGTGGACATACAAATTACAAAATTTCATTCTCAATGCTGTAAATAAAAGTAGGCCCTATGGCTCTATGAGGTTATTTTTATGGCTGTGGTTATTCTTCCGACAACAATACTTAAATCAGAGGTGTTGATTGGTGAAGCTGGCTTGATGACCCTAACCTTAAGCTTCAGTATTTTTATCTTCAGGTACTATGGCATGTCAGAAGAATATCCATGTGTATTTTTATTTATCTTTATTTATTTTTTCTAATGATTCAATTTTTTGTTGCAGGGTATGTTTTAGAATAAAGTAAACCAAGATGATAGGTGGGTTGTTTGTTTACAACCACAAGGGGGAGGTTTTAATCTCTCGTGTCTTTAGAGATGATATTGGGTAAGATTATTACATTGTTTGTCACAATTGCAAGTAAAACTCAAGGTTTCCATACAATCGTTACACAGTCGCTACAGCGTTTTCACTACAATCCTTACACTGTGTAGTTGTCCCCGACGCAATCAGGAAAAACTCCCTGATTCAACTCACCAATTGGCTTAGCTAAAGGAGACAGCGATAGTATGTAGCGCTTTTTATGGAAACCAAGCTTCCGTTGATAAGGTTGATATAGCTTTACTGTAGAACACCCTTTATACTTTGTGTAATTAGTTATTCACTAATTGCAGTATACATTCAAAAACCAAAATTGTCTACTAAAAGTCAGGGTGATACAGATAGTAGATTACATTACAATACAAAACAATACAATACATTTATACCTTTCATCCCAGGCATATTATAAGAAATTCAATCTGAAGGGTCTAGATTAAAAAGGGTAAGAATGACATTCACATTGTATACGAAACAACAAAATATACTGTACATACACTAAAATTTAACTTGTTTTAGCATTTACCTGCATAAACAAATTTCTTCTTCCGTTCGTTTTGCACCCCAGATATCTTCAACAGTGCCCATGAGCTCAAACTTACTAAACGTATAGTAACATGGTTTTTGTTTGTGTTGATGTTAAACTGCAAATGTGTTTAGGTAAAAAGATATTTTTTTGCAGTTTTTTCAAGACTGAACCTAGGATTTTAGAAACAAAACAAATACCATGCCCCACCCAGATCGTAACCAACAAGTCCTCGCTCGTAATCACCAAGGCACATATTTACTAATCTATCATATTCTGTTAATTTTCATTTTCAGTCGAAATGCTGTGGATGCATTTCGTGTTAGTGTAATTCATGCAAGACAGCAGGTCCGCTCACCAGTTACTAACATCGCCAGAACAAGTTTCTTCCACATCAAGCGGGGAAACATCTGGTTGGCAGCAGTTACGAAACAGAATGTCAATGCATCAATGGTCTTTGAATTCCTGCTAAAGATGGTCGAAGTAATGCAGTCGTATTTTGGAAAAATTACGGAAGAAAACATCAAGAACAATTTTGTCCTTATCTATGAATTATTAGATGGTAGGTTGTTCTGTTATAATAGAATAATAATGAATGATATATTATAACAATTTATGTCTTTCATCCATTATTCTAAATTTAGATCTTAATGGATTTAAGACCATTAGTATCTCAATCTCAATTACAATTTACTTATGTTGCACCAATATCTACAATGGCTTATACTGTAATTACATTAAGTTGGCTATTAAGGGCGATGTAATTTTCCAATCTGCACAAAAGTGTGTGTTTTGTTGATGAAGACCAACTAACCAAAGTAGATTTTATTTCAAAGGAGTTTTTTATTTGATAAACTAAATAGAATTCAAGGATATGGACAAGGCTAGAAAAAGTACACGACCGGCGGTCAGAGGCATTGACCTTTAACCCGGAGGCATTTTAGAAAAAATTGTTTGTTTTTTTTGCACATCACAATTTAATGCATAAATATAATATTTTTGCTTGCTCCAAACCACTAAATGTACTACTTTTTCGCTATAATAGTGTAAAGATAACATTTGGTTCTGGAGGCATTTGATAATTTTCATGGTCGGTGACACAAAAAATTATGGATTTCAAGAACGAATTTGGGATCAAGCTTTTAGCTTACAGTACATGATTATCCATTATCATTAATATTTTTATTATTTCTGACTACTGTACACACATTTGTTAGAAAGGTATGGCTTGATAATTATTTTAATGTTTTTCATGGTGTGTAGACATTAAATAAATGCATATGACCTAAAATATACTGGATAATCTTTTTCTTCCAATGGACAGTATGGCTAAGTTCGTTGTTAAGGCTTCAAAATGTCTATGACATGTACAAATTATGTGTTGCAAAATTAACACAAATTTTTACTTTTTATTTATTTTTTTCTAATTGTTTTACTAATTTATTTTGTTTATTAAATTAATAAAGTTAGTGTAATACATTTTTGATATATAAAAATATTTAATTTAAATCAACCAGATATCATTTGAATATTTCAATGATTTATTTTTAAAGAAATTCTGGACTATGGCTACCCACAAAATACGGACACCGGTATCTTAAAGACCTTCATTACTCAGACTGGCATTAAGTCGAACACAAAGGAAGAACAACAACAGATTACTAGTCAGGTGACCGGTCAAATCGGCTGGAGGAGAGAGGGCATCAAGTACAGGCGCAATGAACTGTTCCTGGATGTACTGGAGAATGTAAACCTTCTCATGTCACCACAGGGTAAGCAGCATGTAAACAAATTTACACGTTGACTGCCAGACACTTTTTTAAAAGCTTCCTTCCTGTGTGCCAAAACAGGTTTACATGTAGAAACATACTTTTGTGAAATTTTATCTAGTCATATATCATCAAAATGATGTGTCTAATAAAATGGCGGGAAGATATAAGGGGGGGCGAGTAAACTCGTCAACGGCACTGTGATAGCACTTTTTATTGACCATGCCAAGTGCGAGTTAACTCGTCTGCTTACAGTATCTTCCCCGAACTACCAGCCATTGAGTCGGTGGTTCTACAATGTATAACAAAAAAGTTATAAACGCTAGAATGTTACCCCGATTTTGACGAGTATGCTTGTCCCTGGCACCCTCAGCAACACCCTGTGGGCTAGTGTACACGTCGCTATCAACCAACGTGTTAATTTAATTTTTCTTCTTTACTGTGTTTCAAATTTTAGTTTTATTTTATCAAATATTAATTAAAGATATATCAAGAGTAGTGTCCAGCAGGGTTTAGTCAAATTGTAATGTTAGTCTTCTCACCTTTATATTGCAGTTATTTAGTGTACTAATTGTATTCATTTTGTTTTTTATTAAATCATTCATCATCCAACAGTGCATAAAACACAAATACAGACTTATATAGATTATGATAAAACGATATACTATAAAATTAGAAAAAAACATGTTCCATAATAATGCTATGCATTGCGAAAGACACGATTCCATCAAAACTGTTAAAATGTTGATGACAATAAATATATTCTTATTCTGAACATTCTCCTGTGAATTGAAAAACTTTCAACAATTAATTAAGTTGCTCATTCAGAAAAATCATGTCAAATAGACTGGCTTTTGCTAACCATTATTAATTTTATTATTAAAATTTTTTTTATTGCCTGAAGAAAGTGTAAAATTTCTATGTTTTATTATTATAATGTTTTATTATTATCTTATTAGGTCAAGTTCTCAGCTGCCATGTTGCTGGTAGAGTCGTTATGAAAAGTTACCTAAGTGGAATGCCGGAGTGTAAATTTGGAATGAATGATAAGATCACCCTTGATAAACAAGGCAAAGATACAGAGAAGAGGTGAGATTTGTTAACTTAGAAATCAGCTTAAAGGGATTGCCCCATGCATCTCATGTGTTGGTCATCATTGTAACTGTCCAGCAGCTGGGTGAGTTTTTCCCACACTATGACGTTTTATGTGACAAATTTGTGGGATTTGCCATGTCATGTCATTTGATGATGTCATTAATCACACCCATATATAGGCAAAGCAAAGGTATTTGTCTCATGAAACTTTATATTGTGGACAGAGTATTAAGCCTGCCATTGTCATATCAGATTTTTTTTTGTCAGACTCAACAGAGTTTTTTCATGCTTCATATACTTATTTCAGACTTATCTGATCAAACATATTCAATGTCTATTGGGTCTGACAGAAATTTGGCAGTCTCATAAAATTTAAAAACCTAGGGGTGGAATTAGCCCAAGGGTGTAGGCCTGGCAATATATATTTTTCACCAGACGTATTATGATGAATGTAGACTAATTCATATTATGGCATGATCATGTAGAGTTGTTGTTTAATATTCTTAGATAATTGTCATTATTATTTTATTAATATTAGTGTCTCATAGACCAGTTAACTAACAGTGAACCTTGCATTATTTTAACCAATTATTTTTTATATCCCAATGTATTCACCCAGTGCATGATTTATTTGCTTACCATTGTTAATTTTTCTCTTTTGTATATTTTATTCCTGATGATGTTTTCCTGCGTAGAAGAACGTAAGTTTGTGTGATGTAGGCTTTTTTTTCCCTAGATTTCTGCTTTCTTTATTTATTTAGCAATTTTCAGCTATTCTTTTGTTTTTCATGTTAAAATTTGTGGTGGTGGAGCAGTTTTTTTTTTTGTTGTTGCTGGAACATTCTTAGATATGATGAAAAGTTTTGGATGGTGAAGTAAATTAACAAAATCATGGAAAGAGGATATTTTGCCCAGTAAATAATCATTCAATTAAAAGGAGAGAAAGAAAATGGGTTACAATTGTTCCTGTTCAAGTGACCCTGATTTTAATTGTCACTTTGCTTTGGGATCATTTTTTGTTTGACTAATAATATAGTTTGTACAGTATAACATTATACTGATATATAGGTGTAATTTTTTGCCCTACCTGACGTAGATATGTACCAAATACTCAGTACATTTGAAAACAACTTGTTGGCCATCAGGCGCAAGCTCGGTGGTCTAGAGGTATGATGCCAGGCTAGTGATCTGGAGATCGTGGGTTCGAGTCCCACCCAAAAGGAACTTGGGTGGAACGCAGTTGTTTTCAAATGTACTGAGTATTCGGTACATTTCCACGTCAGGTAGGGCAAAAATTACACCTATACATGTTTCTCCTGACGCAAATCCAGTTATTGTCTATTATTCCATCACGACAATAAAAATTACTATCAACACTGCAGTACCCGCTGCTTACTTGGACTCGAATTCAACCCTGGCCATCAGGCGCAGGCTCGGTGGTCTAGAGGTATGATGCCAGGCTAGTGATCTGGAGATCGTAGGTTCAAGTCCCACCCGAGAACAACTTGCGATTTTTTTCGCAGTTGTTTTCAACTGTACTGAGTATTCGGTACATTTCCACATCAGGTAGGGCAAAATTACACCTATACATGTTTCTCCTGACGCAATTTAAGTTATTATTGTCTATTATTCCATCACGACAATAACAATTACTATTATACTGATAATAATGTCATTAATAATAATTTTGTAAACATGGTTTAATATAGATGTAAATTTCTTTAAATTAGACCAACATAAGCAAAGAAATTTACATCTACAACAAGATCAGCTGAAATTTTTTGATATTTAATAATGCCTCAAGAATACATCGCATCGAAAATAGCCTTAAAACGCCTAACTCAAACAACAATTATAGCATGCACAGCATACAAATTTATTTTTTAAATAAAAAATTTATCACAAAAATTAGGAGGATATCAAAGCACAGATATGCTAACGAGCTACTGTATGCCTGCCATTCACACGCATTACTGCACTGGCTCAGAAAGTACATAATTTAATATTGGCAATATACTCCGTTATGGAAGAAGAAATATTGTAACATGGTATGCTGCAAGGTTTGAAACAAAAAGCACTCACTAATGTGTTCAAAACTTGTAAATCAATGTAATATTTATTTTTTTTATACTGAATTTTTTATATAGTAAACACAATCAATCAATTTAGTAAATTGATTGATTTTTCATATGATGACAGCTTTTGTTACTTTAACTGGTTGATACCACTAGCTGAGCATTCCATATTGTCAATCATTCAAGGTTTGAGACTTCACATAGCAACTGTATCTAAGATGGGTGGGGTCTTTGAAATAGTTCAATTACAACAAACTAGAAAACAAAAATTAATGGGAATGGTTTGTTTAGTTATTGAAGTTCTCAGGCTCAAGTCTAGGTGTTTGATAGTTTGTAATATGAATTTATTAAAGCACTGTCCAATCACTTGCGGCCTAACAAAACTGCCCAAGAAGTAGAAAAGTCCATTGTATTGTAAAAAGAGAAATATTATAAAGTTTCCATTATCATATTTGCAGTATCCATAGCAACCCTACCCTTTATGCTATTGCCTTATAATAAGCGATTGTGTTAAAAACATTGGAAATTCAATGCATTTATCAGCTGCTTTTTGGGATTACTTGTGGTGTTGCATGACCTTAGCACCAAAAATTTATGGTGGTGGTACAATTATAAAGAATAAAAAAATAAAATATATCTGGTGGTACTGTACAGAAACCTTAGTATGGATTATTACCTGAGTAATAATTACTGTCATGGTACAGTACTATTAATTTTTACTTCTGTGATTTTTTGTGGTACTGCTGTATTTTTAAAACCATATACAAACTTTCCTTGGTAGCAGATACTGTAACTAATAATGATATATTCTGATAGTATAATTCATTAATTTACAATAATATTTTACTGTACCGTCCATGGTACTGTTCTGACAAATCATCATTTACCACCTAGGTATTGTATATAGTATAATAATACCGCTTTGGTACTAATTTGTACTTCTATGGTATTGTTTTTACTGATTCTCCTGCTTATTGTACCTTCCTTGGTACTGAAGTGGACTGAGCAAATACCTCTCTGGTACTATTGTACTTCCAGCATTGTACCTCACTGGTAGCTACTGCAATTCGTAGAAAATTGGTGTAGTGTAGGTACTATTGCACCTCTTTGGTAATGTGTATGAGTCATTCCTTGTCAAATCAACCAGATTTAAAAAAAAGTTCCAGTATGACCCTCTCAGATTTTGATGAAACTCCATAAAAACGATCCACTATGTGAAAAACGAACAATTAAAAAAAATTTGCATTATAGGTTTTGTAGTTTCCGGGATATTGACTCCTCAAAAAAGGGGCGTGGTTCTTCAAGATGCGCAAATGGAGTCGTCCTGGGACCTCTGGTTGATTTGACACGTAATGACCCGTATATATTGTTAATGTACATTTTTTGGTGCCGAGGTACTGTACTGCATCTACTGTGACAGTACTGTATGTTAGTGTTTTATGGGTATTTCCTTGGTTACTAAAACCATGCTAGGTTCCCAAGTTCCATGCTAAAAGAACTTTTTTCTAGCTAGTACATATTTCAGTGTGTTTTTAACTTTTGTGTAAATTTTAATTGTGTTATAGTATTCTTGTTGAAAAATTATAGCATTTTTGCATTTCATTTCTTAAAGTGTCAGGCTGTTAATAGTATATATCTTCTATTTCCTTTATGTTAAATTTTTCTTATTAGCACCTTTTTTCTATGATGAGTTGCCATTAAATTTACGTACAGTTGTTTAAAATAGTTTCTACAACTTTATCAGGTGTCCCAAGTTTACTGCAAATGGCCTTTTAAACTCATGCGTGCAAGCAAAAATCTTATGGAAACTAACCAATGTTACACATATTCATTATATTTGAATGTTTGTACTACTGTAATATGAATTGTTTCCTGAAATCAGCTGGTAATCAGTGCACTTCAGATCTTTTGCAAGTCTTTTCCAACTTGGGACCCCTGCTTTAGGCTTGTTTCACAGATTCTCTTACTTCAGATTCATGTGTACTGTTGTGTGTTGTTTTTGTGTAATATAGTCAATAAGTCTTTATTTTGATAGTTGTATCCACTTACTATTTAATACATTAGTGTGTTTTTTGTACATTCTTTATCTTTGATAGTGAGTATGGTAGTTCTTAGCGTAGGTGCCTGGTCTTTGATCATTTTATTGGTTAATTTTTCTTGATATAGCCAGTGTTCTCCCTAGCATTATGGGCAAGTGTCATGGTAAGTGTCGAAGTCCACCATAGTGGGGACTGACGATGCAAGGTATTTTTAATAATTAGGAGGCATTGAAATGTCCATAAATGCACTTTAAGACTATAAAAGCATCATGGAAGATGTTCCAACCATCATGGCCAGCTGTCAAGCATGATGAGGAAAGTCCCAAGCATCATGGTACCATATTGCTTCAAGGGCCGTGGGAGAACACTGATATAGCACAAAATACTTAGGTCTTCATGAGCTGTGAACAATGAAGTGGTTTATACATGATTTACAACTTACCTGAATAATAAAAAAAAGTTTATCACTTCAAGCCATTACCCAAACCTAAGTATGGAGGTGCACCAGTGTCACAGACTAGGAATCATTCAAATACACGTTTTCTATCCAAACATTTAAAATAATCATTTATCATATTTTTTGCTCAGTGGTGCTGGTAAGAGTTCGATTGCTATCGATGATTGTACCTTCCACCAGTGCGTGAAGCTTAGTAAGTTTGAGTCGGAGCGAAGTATCAGCTTCATACCACCTGATGGCGAATTTGAACTGATGAAGTAAGTACACCAAATTGAATAATCCATGTCTTGGTACAAAAGAAACATGGACTAAATGTTTTATCATTTTGCAATTACATATTATGTATTGCGTAGTCAATTACAGCTCCTGTTATGTTCAATTCTTTCACATTGGCTGAATTATTGCTGAATTTAATTGTACACACTTTTTTTACTTACACAAACTTTAAAACTTTAAAATTGGTGTATTTTCCTGTAATTTCTTTAAAAGGTACCGTACCACGAAGGACATAAGTTTGCCATTTAGAGTAATTCCATTGGTCCGTGAAGTATCACGTACCAAAATGGAAGTGAAGGTGGTTCTCAAATCGAACTTTAAGCCATCAGTTTTAGGACAAAAAATTGAGGTAAGATTTATAAGAATATATTATTATTTTCATTTTACAACATTCACTTAATGTGAACCTGAAATTACACTGTGTTAGTCTTTATAATCATTATTTGAAAATTAGTATGTATTATGGTCATCGCAGCTTAGCTCAGTCGTCTGAACGGTGGTAGGACTGTGTGTGCTCTCAACAATGAAGATCTTTGGTCCCGGGTCCAGTCCTGTTCGCTACTTTTACTGTGTCTCAGCCTGAAGGTTGAAATGCAGTTTTTAATAGCGCAACATTTTTTGGAATGTATGTTTAAGCCGTTGGTCCTGTGTGCATTATGGCCCATGTGCATTTTAAAGAATGTATTACACTCTCTGGGCAAGAGTAAGGCATTGTCTCCCGTGTACTCTGCCCAATCATCACCAGAAGCACCCCACTGTAGTCTTCAGACTTTTGTGGGTTATACTTTGTACTTAAACCAAATAAATCATTCATGGGTTATGCAATTAATTTATATTTGATACTCACTTTTCAATTTTGATTTTAACATTATGTAGGTTCGTATCCCGACACCCTTGAATACCAGTGGAGTACAAGTAGTCTGTATGAAGGGAAAAGCCAAGTATAAATCAAGCGAGAATGCAATTGTTTGGAAGTATGTGTTTATTTGAATGTGAAATAAGTCCATCATTAGTAATTTATAACTTTAAAACATGAAAAAGTTAAATGCACATTATAGAAATGATTGATGGATGTGAAATGAACTGTGATGTTGTTTTTCTTAATTGATTTATAATTTGATAAATTAGTTTGTGTTAACATATTTTATATTTTTTTGCAGGATCAAGCGTATGGGTGGTATGAAAGAATCACAAATCAGCGCTGAGATTGAACTGCTACCAACAAACGACAAGAAGAAGTGGTCTCGTCCGCCAATCTCCATGAACTTTGAGGTTAGTTACAAATGATTTAAGGTTTAAACAACATTAAAATGTTCATCAATGACAGAGGGTAAAACCATATAAAAATATACATTTTCCTGAAAGTTCCTATGTTTTGTACTTTTGTAGAATTAATGAATTTGCTATTACATGGAAACTATAAGTTCTTAAAATACTTATTTCTACTAAGGCGAGCCTTTTTGTATTCTTTGTTTCGCTTATTTTTTTTAAAGATCATTAGAGGGGGGCGGAATAAAAATAAAATAATTTTTTTTTCTGATTAAGCAAATAGTTTTTGCCAACAACATCCAGATGGAGGAGAAAATAAAAATAAAATGTTATTGGTGAATATAAACTGAGATGGAATAAATGCTTCAAGTTTATATATTTAGGAAGAATTATACATATCTTGTCTTTGGAGATTTCAAAGCAACGAAGGGCCTAATAAAAATAAAGAAAAACTTTTTTTTTCCTGAAATTTTAATTTTTCGTGGCAGCTGGTGCGCTAATTGACCAAAAATATAATTTTAATTTTATACGAAATCATCAATATTTGCGTTCCCTAAATAAGTTATAAAAAAAAAATCTTGCCTAATCTTTACTTGGTATTCTTGATGTACAGTTTTTCCAACTTTTAATTTTTTTTATTGCCGGTTTTTAAATCCTTTTGCGATTTGTTTTTACTATCAATCTTAGTGTGCAATGTTTACAATTTTTTCTACTTGAATCAATGATTTTATGTATTGTAGTGCACCTATGAGCTAATGTTTTTTTTTTTGGTTTTAGATATATAGCGCAATAAAAATGCTTTTATTATTTTTATACCATATGTCACATGTTTATTAATTCAGGTTCCCTTTGCTGCATCTGGACTGAAGGTTCGTTATCTAAAGGTCTTTGAATCGAAACTCAACTACAGCGATCATGATGTTATCAAATGGGTCAGATACATCAGTAGAAGCGGGCTGTACGAGACCAGGTCGTAAGTCATAGCATCTTGGAGTATGATGACCGCTTGTTGACAAATGAGCATGAATTGAGCTGACCATATGCTTATTGAACAAGAATAAGACCATGTGTGCAGTGTACACGTAAAACCACATGCTTTAGCCGCATGCATGTATGTCTTAACTTCCAAGTGCTGGTGCATTCCATTCATTAAAGTGTATTGTGCTAGTAAAAAATTATTTTAAGTTGTAAAATTATCCTTTTTTAGACTTATACCATGCCCTTATGACTTTATATGGAATATTTTTGTGGGATTTACGTTCATCTCTGTGATTGTCATTAACTCCTAAAGGCTCAACATTGTATGGGTTCAACATTGATTGGGATTAAGATGGCAAATCCATATCTGTAAAACATATTTTACTGGAGTTCTTTCATATTCTCAGTCTGGTTTCAGAAGACCTAGTAATAGCTCTTGTTACCATACCATTAAAATATGGTACTGTACATTAAAACTCAATTATAAGATTATGTTAAAAAAAGTATAGAATAAGCATGCCATTGTTTTGTGAATCAATATCTTGACTTTATGTTCATGTTTAGGAATAAAATCAGATATTTTAATTTACATTATTTTGTTTTAAAATCTCATTAAACTATAGTACTGTACTACTATATAAGTTTCAGTTATATGAAGCACATAAGATAATTATAATGTAGTTATATAGCTGTGCAGGTTGTGTATGGTTATTGTGTAGTAGGCTTTTCTGCATATTTTCTCAAGGAGCCTGAAGTTTACGAGTTCAGTGCAGTCAAATATGTCATTTTGGCATTCTACAAGTTGTATGTCTTGTTCTATATGTAGCCTAGTAGGATTAGTATTATAATGCTGTCTCCTAGCTGTATTCAACATGTTTAATACCATCTGCTCTTTTAAAATATTCCTTCCCAGCACATGGTTTATTAACTACTTGGTACTTACAAGACAAGTATTGTAGGTAATTCCCCTGAATTATCCAATCAGAAGCCATTATTTTTGCAGTCTATATGCAACCACAATAATAATAATAATAATAATAATAATAATAATAATAATAATAATGTTACCCCATTGTTGGCATGTTTGAGTGCTGAGGAACCATTTTCGTATACACTGTATGTTCATTCAAAATAATACGTAGGTCAAAGAAATACTATGTGTAATAAATCTGGTTTAACAACCATTGGTTATGGTTAACCATTGTGTTTTTTTAATGGAAGCATTTCAAATTTAGAAATTTTCTTTGGAAAAGAATAAATGCAATGGAAATATAGATATAAATTCTTTATGCATATTCAAAGTAGAGATTGGCATTTTTCTAACAACAAATCGTCCCAAAAATTTGATATATATTTGATACCCTTGTATTGTACTTTAGTATTATGCACATTATTTTAATCGTAGTTTAATTATTAGCAACACCATTTAACATGTAACACTGAATGTTTTATTTAGTCTTAAATGCCATTATATTATCTCCATTACTGGCACGCTCTCAGCCTGAGAGATAGGGTCACCCCTGATAATTTGTGCGACTATGCTCAAAAGAGATTGGTTTAAAGAAATTACAGTAGTGCGCTAGAAACAACCAGTGCCAAAAAAGAAACAGTACTGATCCGAGTCCTGTTGTCTGTTGTTAATTCTTACAATCTAAGGGGTCTATTGACTATTAATGATTTCAGATAACTGTAGTACAATTATGGTAGACTCGACCACTGTACAGCAGACATTCAACCACTATTCTGTTGCTTGTAGGACATTTTCTGCAAATTCCTGTTTGTCCTCGTGCTGGTATCATGCATAGTAATTGAAGATATGTTGTCTCCAGCAATGCTTTAAGTTCTGGCCACACTATAAGCTGTGTAACAAACCTGATGTGCCAAATATGTGGGCTTGAGGACAGCACATGAGCAAACCACTGTTTACATGTCTAGCTAAATTATCACTATCTGAAAATGTATTGAATAATAAAGATAATAATAGAATTGAATAGATGTATTAGTTTAATTGCTTTTATTTCTGTACATATATAAAAATATATAATTTTATGATGCTCGATGACTAAGAGAGGAGATGTAGCTCGCATAATAAGGTAATTTTTATCTACTTGAGTGTAATTTGTTTTCTCCAAAAACTTTCAAGTTGGCCACCCTTCCTTGGATATGCCATTGCCTCCTACCAGGTACCACTTCACATACAGATTCATATTTATTTTATTCGTCATACACGTACATAGTATGTTTCTACATAGGTTATAGTAACAACCACAAAACAATACACTACAGTATATACAATATTATAAACAATGAATTTTTAAGTTTAGATTTATTCAGTTCATTCAAATTTAAAATACAAGTATATAAAAAATGACAACATTGAACCAAGCAATAACCCAAGAAAATTTAAAAATAAACTTATTTCCATTGGGGTCCTTCAAGCCTCATTCCCGGCAATATTTTTTTATCAACCTGCCATATATTTTCTGTTCGTAAGTCTCCATTTGCAATATCTGGATCTGCAATAATTATTCTTTCTTTTAAAATATTATTATAAAGCTAATGTCATTATATTTTATTAATCTATTGTATTTGCACCTGGGCACAAATTTTGGCTGCATCTCAGTATATAGTGTTGACGATAAATTTCCCGATTCCTTGAAAGCAAAAATTCACTTGATTTTACACACTATTATAAACTAGTGTTAATTGTAATTTTATAAAAAAAAAAAAAAAAAAAAAAACAAATAAAAAAAAAAAAAAAAAACAAAACAAAAAAAAAACTAAATAAAACAAGAGGCAATTTATTAAAATACAGTAATGGTAAAAAATAATGAATAAATATTGCTATTTTAGATATAGTGGCATGTATTTAAATAGCACCCATGCACTTATTAAAGGGAATAAATTGAAATAGGTGGGAGGACTGTATTTCAATACAATACTTTTTTACAAATGACATTTACAGTACAGTAGTATTTAATAGACTGGGTGGGATTCAAAGTCTCAACAACCACAATGCTTAAGCCTGGACAGACTGCAACCACTGCCTCTACAATGTCAAGATAAGCTACATGGAAAGTTGTAATCTACAGTATGGAGAACATCTTGTAAGTCCCAGGTCCTATTCGGTTTCTGTATGCTGGCCTTCTCTACAGAGGTCTAACAACCTGCATTACGATTATGCAATTCAGTTTACAACAGTTGGCAAACTTCTGTACAAATGCCTATTAACTTCACTTATTGGAATATCTGATATGGGGGGAATTGCGACTGTTGGATCGGCAACTTGAGATGGCGATCTGGAATGGTCATCTGCAAAACAGAATGCATATTGTCTTTAAATAATCATTGTTTAATGATGATGATTGACATTGGAATTGACAAGTACAGTAATTCCAATTATATATGGAACTAATGTATACATATGAGGCTTGTTGTGGCAAAAAGGCTTAGTTATAGCAAAAATTGAAATTTAAATTATTGGTATTTTCAGATACCTGAGTATGTGATCTTTAAAATGAGGGGTCATTAATTCAAATTGGACATTTCAAGCCTAAAATATTGGAAAGTGAAAGTACAGCACTCTTAGAGTCAAGATAAACATGATTTTGA